AAAAAGCATGAATATTTCAAAGGTCATTTTCAGGGAAAGGAGGCAGAATGCATAGATTGGATTGTTTCCCTCAGGATACAGGAAGCAGAGTGCAAAATGAACTTCTTGGTGGTGGATTTTTCAGCATGACAGTTGACACCAATCAACTGATTATCATAGAGACCGAAATAAGGACTTCTACTTTTTCATGTGCTCTCTGTCTTTCTCATTTTCTCATCACATTATCAAATATCGGCTAGAGCCATTCATTAGGAAAAGCCATGTGGTACTAGACTCCAATCCTGCCAACTTTATTTTTCTAGACATCACTTGTGTTTTCTTAGTGTTTGTGGGAAGGTAGATGTGGCAAAGTCACTTCAAGGTGACTTTTTAGCGAAAGGATACCAGAAGGGTTGCAGTAATCAATCTCTGGAAAGATGGCAACAGCTATCCCATCCCAGTAGATCAAGCCTTCGCTACTGCTATTCAAGGAAGCCTCTAGACTCTCTCCTTGTGGCAATGGTACCACCGAGAATGAGCACAGTGAGGGATCAGAGAGGGTAGAGCTGTACCTTCATGTCTTTTTGAATTTTAATTTACAAGAAAGGGGGAATTTTATTTTGAATTTTAATCTCTCTCTGGATACTTATTAATGGGAGATTTATAATCAAATACATGATAGCACTTGGAGTGCTTTTCAGAAGCATGTGTTGATAACTCTGTGAGTTATATTTGAAAGCCTGGCTGGGCAGGTAGAGGGGAAGTGACTTCCAGCTTACAGTGCAACTGAAGTGCAACAAAGGAGCTCTGCTGATTTCTTCAAAGCTATCTAGGAGTCTGGATCCCAGAAAGATACACAAGGACAGTAGATCCTAAATGCTTGTGGTCTTGGTTATAGTCAATGCTACAACGTTATGATTCCTCACAATGCACAGGGAGACCATGGGGATCTACTTGAGGTCATATCTTGTGGACTGCATCGCCCAGGCTTTCGTAGTCCTCACGTTCCTTTGCTTTCTGTGTGCATAGTACTAGTTTTCATACAAGAAATGAGAGGGAACCCCCCCACAGCCCAACCTCACTCTGCTGTAGTCCTTTAGACAGCCAGATGAACACATGTGCCTTTGGTGATTTCATAAGACTGAGTTCTTATATATTTCTACAAAATGACTGAATGCAGCAGGACAACTATTGTCTGAATACTAGTTAGGTCTTGGGCTTTCAGAATAGTGACCAGTAAAATTTTGTACGTTCTAAATTCTACAATGTTAGAGATTTTGTGAGAGAAACAAAATAAAACTAATACAGGGCCTAAACTCTCTGAGTTGACTTTTGGCCATCGCAGACTTGATCCTGTGACACAACAATATGAACCCAAGTGTGACTCCTAAAGGCAGCACAAGGTTATCTGTATACATGGCAATTGTAATAACCACAGGCTTGGTGCCAAGGCCTAAGTTCAGAAAAAAAAATGTCAGAGAAAATAGGTTGCTTCTCTTTTATCCCCACATTTTTTGTTTTATTATAAAAAAGGTACTAGTGTTTACTCTCTTGAGTAATAAAGCTATGTCTGCAATGTTAATAGAAATGCTTTCACTGGAATGTGTCCACTCAATGATATTGCCACATGGACTTGCCCTTTGCTATCAGGTTACCCTTTTGGTCACTAAGCCAGTTATCCAAAAATTGTTGTGTGGATTTATTGCCCGTCTTGTCAGAGTTTGTGGTTCTAGCCTCCCTCCTACTCCTAGTGCTTGTATTTCAGAATATAAGTGGAAGAAAAGTCTTGGTCAAGGTGTTCAAGAATTGAGTAAGCTTCCTTCCTACTGTCTCCTTTGGCTGCCTAAACATTCCTGGATGAATGAGCTACCAAGAGGAAAAGCTGAACCTTGAGTCACTGCGTGGAGAGGAGACGTTATGACTAGGAGCAATGTCTTAAGCTATTATGTTAGGAAGAAGTAGATTTGTACTATTCTATGTAATGAACTAGGTAGGTTAGTCCACAATTCTCAGCTGGAAAAGGAAGCAGTCAAAACCCACCTTGCATTTACAAATGTATTCTTGTATTTAAATCAGATGAACAAAAACATGAGGCTTCTGCTTTGGTCCCTGGCCATCACTTGCCAAATCATAAGCAGAGAGATGTATCCTTTTGAAATTATTGGTAACTTAATTTATAGATTAATAGATATAATAACTGTTGGCTTTTAATTTCTTTGATCTAGTTTCTATTGATTAGAATTATGATTGGAATGAGAGAGTGTTTGGTATCTCAACATTCAATACATACCTGCCTCATAGGGCCTCCTTCTCCTCTTAGGGGATTGAAGCATGAAAATCAGAGAGCAATGGTCATTTAGACCAACAATCTGTCAATAACCAGACAAGACGTTCCATATCCCTGCACAGAGGGGAACATAATGCTGAAGGTTGGGGCACAGACCTGAGCATGGAGGCTAGAACACTTGAGATTCCAATTCTGCAAGTCTGCAACCATGAAGATCAGGGGCTCAACGGCAGTGCAGACAAACCTTGAGTGTTATCTGTGATCTAGGTTCCTTTGTTGACACATCTCTCGTGAACCACAATTTTCCTTATGAGCAGATAAGTACAGATAAAGAAAAGGAAAGGAGAACCACTTGGCAAATAGCCTTGACTAAGAAACTTAGAATTCATTGTTACAAGCAAGTAGACAAGATGGAATGCTTTTCTCTCCAGTAAAACAGCTACTTTTCACCAGAAGCTAGTCCTTCTTCTTTCCCTCTTTCCTTCATTCCTTTCCCTTTGCCTCCCTTTTGTTCCATTTCTCCTTCCTGGTGAGGTAGGTGACCCATGAGTCCTTTGTCACACTGCCACAGTATGTAGACTGTTGACTAGGGAAATAATTTAAAATATACTACATGCTAACCCACATCTATTTGAAGAAGAAAAGTTGCTAGATGTAAAAAAAGAAATTTGCACAAAATACAAGTATGTAGATATTTTTGCAACAAAAGAAACTATTTATTTGGAATATGCATTACCAGTACAAATTAGGAGACTGTAAAACCTACACCGTGTTAGTATCATTAGAGAACACAAAAAGTTCAGTTGGAATCAAAAGGGCCAGAAGCCTGTGCTCTCACAGAAGCAGAAAAGCTTAAACTTTCAAAACCAAAACAGAGCAGAGCTTTGCAGGTTTATACTCTGAATAACAAGAAAAAAGGAGGGGAGAGGAAGAGGGAAATAAAATCAACAACCAAAGGAAAGCACTTCAAAATGAAAATGCCAAAATGGAAGAAAAGAAGTAAGAGAGAAAGGCAGGTGAGGAGGGATATTCAATGTTTTTATTTTAACAATAGGGAAAGAAAGTTTACAAAAAAAAAAAAACCCAGAGGTTTCTGAAAAGCTTTGAGCCAGGGATTGAAACCACAAAGGTGATGTGAAAAGCTCCTTATTATTTTGTTAGAATTTACAAACAAGAGCTCAGTGTTGGGGTGGAAAATGCTTCCTGAAGCATTCCACAACCACTCAACATTCTTTCTTCACTTTTCTGACAGAAATTCTAGCTTTCTGACCATATAACTTATTCAATGAGTAGTGTCTAAAATTGTTCTGTTCCCCCCAGACAATATTGCTTTCTTTATTCCTTTAACTAATAAAAACATTCCAAATCAAGCCAGCTTTAAGCAGCCATTTAATTCAGAGGACTTCAGCACACCAAATTTAATTTCTGAGCATGAAATCTACAGCATCAAGTCTGGCTTAATTTTTCACCAACTCTTCATTCAGAATCAGCAGCCTGACTGGACACAGCATCTGATTCCAGTAGTGTTCATCATACCAGTACCTCTTGTGGATTCTTCTAGAAGAAAAATCCTGTGTAGTCAGAAGAGACCTCTCATGGAATGTTATCAATTGGGGAGAAAGAAAGCACTTGATTTTGACATTCAGAATCAACAAAGGCAAAACCCTTTTCTTACAGTATAAGAAGATACTTTGGGCTGAGTACTTGAATTTTTGAAAAGCCAAAAGTAGAAGCAAATCCCTGATTATATTTCTGAGGAACTGCAAGAGTGTCAGTCACTCTGGAAACACAGATAAGCGGGGAGATGTCCACGTGGGCTTTATTATTATCATTGACATCAACTGAATTCTGAAGCAAAGTAGAACAAGGAAAGCCTACTCTACCATGTCATCTTTTCACATCACCTTGTATACATATTTAAGGAATAAAAACAGCAAGATTATAATCCTGACAATTAAAAAAGCCCTCCCCACTCAAGTAAACAAACCAAAAATAACACAAAACTAAACCTTTTTTTTTTGTATTTTTTAAAGAGCATGAATAAAGAAAAGAAAAGAATTTATTCTTGGGTCTCAAAGTTAATAAACATAATAACGTGTTAGGTTGTACCTATATGCTCACTATTCCAACCTTTTTTTTTTAAGTTTACAAAATGAATTACCGTCACTTTTAAACATTGTGAAACAGGAAATGGATGTGCACAACTCGACACTTTTCTAGCATTCTTGAACTAATTCACAAATGCAAGAAAATAAAAGAAAAATGGGGGAAATGAATGTAGGTAGTTTGGTGTTAAAAACGAATGCAGGAATGATGCATGGTGCAATGGTCACAGAAAGAAGGGGTAAATTCCCCATCCTGTTTTACGTGCTGTAAGGAGGGTCATTTTTTAAAATTTTTTTATTATAAACACTATTAAATTCAGACCGCTTTTTTGGTTTTTTTCTTTTATCTGAATATACAAGAACATTCATTATCAAATGTTCAATCAATACTACAAAGAACAAGACACAAGTCGCAAGAAAACAATGGAAAATGTTAATAAAGCTGAAAGAATCGTTGAGTATTTTTTTTGTTTTTTTTTTTCAGTTTTTTCTTTTAAATTTGAATTTCTGTAGTTTCATCTTTTTTGGTATCGAAGTCAGGTTTTTCTGGGCAGAAAAATAAAGAGCAGAAGTAAAGTGAGGAAAAAGAAAGATGTGAGAAGAGGCAACCAGCAAATTAAAAACAACCACAACAGCAAAAGGAAAAATAAACTTTAAAGAAGGGGCCAGTGAGCGTTAAGTACTGCACTGGAGTCTATTCCACTCCAGGGGAAGGAGTTAGGGATGAGGGGTAAGATGTAATGAAGAGTTCCAAAGTGGGCAAACCCAAAGTCTAGAATCATTCACCTGGGGAAGTTTGCTGTCAGAGAAAATGGGAGCTCCCCACTTCCATTAGAAAATGAAGGAATCCTGGGGTACAGCTTGGGTGTCTGGAGTTGACCTGATATGAATTCCAGGAAGTTATTTCCAGAGACATGCTCTTCCCATCCACACAATTAGCCTGCCAGTATTCTCAGGTCTAGCATAATGCAGAGAAAGCGCATGGCTGCCGCCATGTTGGAAGTGACAGAGTACTTTGCAAAGGAGATTGTAGGTACAAAGGAGACCCCTAAGTGAGGTGCTTGAAGGGGAAGGTGCTGTGTAAGGTGATTGCTGAAAAGTACTGCTGGGAAGGGAAAGGGAACTGTCTGCAAATGTAGCACTGCTCTGATTTCTTTTTGTCCCATGAAGTGAAGAAATGACATTCAATCTAGATCTGGAGCCATTCTTTTTGTTTCCCTTGTGTTTTTTGTTACTGTTGTCTTTTTTTTTTTGTACTTTGTCCTGATCAAGTGAGGTGACTCAAGCATATTCCTGTGTGAATAGTTTCAATATATTCCTGCCACTGAGAAAAACTTCTCTTCTGGTTCTCATCACTAAAGAGTTGTCCCAAAGATGCTTCTTCTAGAAACCTGATTGATCTAGACCTGTTCTGACTATGCCACAATTTAGTAGGCATGGACTTTCTAGTGGCCTTGATCATCTAGATATGCTTTCATTTTTGCCATTTTGCCATTTCATCCACATCCACATTTCTAAAAATTGTTTAGGTAGTATCCCTGGTTCCCCCAAATGCACATTACTGAAGTACCATGCAGAATTTCATGACTTTGTTGACTAGCCATCCTTGGCCCTTAGGGTCTGGCACCTCCTCCTGGAAGCCTCTCAAAGGGAGCAAATGTGCTAGGGGACAGGTACTTTGCAAGGCCACATATGGGATTCAAGGAAAAACAGAACCAGATACTACTTTTTCTAGTTTGAGGTTTTTCTCTTTCTTAAGAAACCAAACACCAAAATTAAATCAAACAAAACAAGTCTCCCCCCAAACTCCCTCCCCCCCGTCAGCATGGTGATGACATCTGGGTACTGATGGTAACCAGAATTTGGATCAAGAAAATCAATTATTGTCCTGACAAACCATGAACCTGCTTAACTATTGAAAATGAATAAAATCTTTTTTTTTTACAAACCCTTTTGTGCAGAGGGTTCTGCATAGCAAACCTCAGTTTATAGATGAAGAAATTGCACCAAGAGATCCATCCACCTCCCACTGACTCAACTGGGCAAAGCTGTGATCTTTATTGCTGGCTGAAATGGCTCTCAAGAATGTTAGCTCAGGTGGAATTTGAGAATAGCTTTCCACTGGATGCAGTTTTGTTACACAATCTCAGTGAGCACAAATTAACGTGATGTTTTCAGTGAAAACATTATGGCCCCTTTCCCACAACCCTCATGTCTTCAAATTAAGCTAGCTATAAACTCACCTAAACCATGTTCTTACAACACTCCTCCAGAGGAAGAGACCAAGGTCAAGAACGTGGTACAGTATAATGTTTTGGATAATGCACTGTGCCTAAATACAAAAACAAAAACAAAACAAAAAAACCAAATCCATGATAGACATTGGAAGTACTTTCTGTAGTTCCCTGAGGTGGGGTGGACAGGATTACTTTATGCTGGAGACCTGGCCTTCATCACAGTAAAGTCATGGGCATGCCATTCTGGTAAGTTTATGTCTACAGGGTCTAGAAGCCCCAGGCTTCTCCATATGGGTGACTTTCACTCTGAAGATCATTCCTTTCTCTTTCTCAAGCTTGTCAGGCAGAGTGCTGTCATTACTAATGTATGTATTTGTGTGTGACATCTTTAGAAAGAGAGCATGTGAGAGTGTGCATGTGTCTAAATGTGTGTTTGTGTGCATGTGTGTGCACGCGTATGGAGGGATAGTTAAAGCTTGTCACAATCAGGTGCTTCTAGTCCTAGCTGATGTAGCATTTAGCACTATGCTAAACCTGGTTTGCAGTAGGTTCTGAACACTGTTACCTAAGTGTTGAATGGTCTCCAAAGATTGTACCTCTGAAACCAAGAGCTGTGGTTAGGAAGATGAGAAAGCCAGAAGAATCCTGTCCTACTCTTCCTTCTACCCTCCCCTGCTGCCTGACTTCTTGCCTGGGAAGCAACCTAGTAGAGCTGAAACTGGAAAATGTGGCACTTTTTACAAGCCCAGCAGTCCCCAAGAAATACCTAGGACCAGAAGGAAGCAGAAGAAAGTATTTCAATAAGTGTTGTCCCTGGGGAGGAGGAACAAAGAGGAGGAGAGTGATCTGGAATGAGTAGGGCAATGTGGCATATTCCTGGTTAAGAGGTAGTGAGAGCAACAAGAGAGACAGAGAGGGATTTCCTGTTAACGTAGGGATCAGAGTGAGGTAAATTTGGCTCCTCAAACCACCAGCATGAAAACATACAAAGACTTTTATTATTATTATTTTTTTCTCTGTGGATTTTTTTTCATCTTTAAATTCTCCTAATTGTTAAAAATATCCTTCAGTGATGTAATAGAGGACAGGGACCCCGGAAGTCTAGCACAGAGGGCAGGGGACAGGGAAGATGATGAAAACCAGGCTGACAGTTGAAGGCAGGGAAGGGTGGCTTCTACCCAGAAAAAACAAAACAAAACAAAACAAAAAACAAAAGGGAAGAGAGTATAAAGAAGTGTCCAGATTGGCTGAAATAGCATCCCAAAGAAGAGAAGAGAAGGAGACTCTTATTGTGTTTGCTGATTGCTTCGACCTCCAGTCTGACCGCTTCAGCGTTGGGAGAGAAACCCTCCCTCCTGCCCCTGCCCCAACTGGGGCCCAGGGTCAGCCGGGATGCGATTGCTGGGAGATCAGTTGGAGGTATCAGAGTGAACACTGCCAGGGCCTTCTGTAGGGGAGGTCACTGATGAAGGGGTAGTAGCATCCTGCCAACCTCCATTAGCCTAGAAGGGAAAAAGGGAGAGAAGTCAGTTCTCTGCCATCGGGTGGCCGTTTTGAGCAGACAATGACAATGAGGGCCTAGCAAAGTGCCTGGCACACTGGAACACTCATTGAATAGATAGCTATCATTGTGGGCGATAATGTTTCCCCACCCTCTGATAAGTTCAGCTCCTTCGAGTAAGCCTCTGGATCCAATGTTTATGTCTCCCACTTGGGTAATGTCTTTACATTTCTCAAAGACTTTGTAATTCTGTCCTAGCCATCAGGAAAATGATAGCTGTTCTGCAGATCCAGAGAGTTTTTGTATTTTGAGTTGGTTTTGTATTTTGCTTCTGACACTGGCACCAGCTGGTTGTTACCAATGATGGAGAGACCTTCACATCTAGATCTTCACATTTTGGCCGCGGGCTCCCATTTTGGGAAATAAGATTGGCCCAAATGCATTCTGAGGTCCTTTCTATTTCTGTGTATTCCATGTGCCTATGGGATTCTAAGTCCCTGTTCTATGCAAAGTTCTGGACTAGAAGCTCTTAAATATATACTGATAAGTGAGATTTGGTCCATGTTCTCAAGAGGGTAAGAGAAGCCCATGAATGTACTATATAACCCAAAGGACAGCCCTTTGTACTATATAACCCAAGGACAAGAATGGTAGTGCCAACTGTTACGAAGGGCCAGTGAGGGTCTTGTCACACATTGTTGAAACATCCTTAGCTACTGCATCTCATAGAGAAGATGCTCTTGAGAAGAGACTCGTGGGGGATGGTGAATTCAGGTAAAACAGGATATACAAGACCAACCAAGAAGATAGGTCTTTGTGAATGCATTGGAGAGGTTGGGAGATGAAAATTATAAGCTTGATTAACATTTGGGGGTAATTTCTCTGAAGCTCTAGATTCAGAAGCAGTCAAATAATGCATTTGCTCTAAAAGGATTTGTTTAATGACCCACCCTTTCAAAAAAACAAAACCACCTCCAAACTAAAATAGTTGAAAGACTTGCTGTGGCTGTTTTCATGGTATAGCTTTCAAAGTTGTTTATATGTTCTAAAACACTGAAATAATTGCACCAAAATCACTTGCCATCCCCAATCATTAGGTTCTCAACTCTGGAAATTTTAATGTTGGACAGTCCAAGTCTTAGATATTCCTACTAAGATATTTTCTACTGTAATTTCCTCTCATTTTATTCTTTGCAAAGTTTGGAGTAGAATGGGCAGGTATTATCATTTTCATCTGGGAGTGAGCACCATTTCTACTCTTACATATTCCACAATATGAAGGAGAGTGTCTGGCACTTAACAGGTGCCAACCAATGTCAGCTCACATTTCATTCACAGGGGGGCAGAAATTTAATAGAAAAGCAGGCTTCCTGGCCATGGCTGAGACAGAACACAGGCCTCCTAACTTTTGAGTTTATGCTCCCTATTTCTGCCCCCTTAAAGCCACTTGGCTTTCTTTTGCATTGCATCTCTTCAAGGATGCTCCAATTTTCCCAGGAAAGTGACACTTAATTCAAAGCAGCTCCTGCCAATCACTTTAAAATAAGGATAGGTTTGGTCTTCTCCTTACTAAGGAGCAGATCTAGAGACCCAGAAGCAAACGCGGATCATAGGAAGTGCAAACACTACCTCTCTTTCACTGTGGGCTTCTGAATGACTACTCTGAGCTCACATCGCCCACCTCCTAATGCAGGCAGACAATTTCTCGTTTCTCTGTGGGAGGACGCCTCCCCCTCTTTTGTGGTAGGGAGCTTCCATAACAAACAGTGAGGGAAAAAAATCAGAATTCTGTCCTTCCTAACAGAAAGCTTTTCCAGATTTTGGAGGCCATGACTGTGTAATATAATGCATATCAAGAAAATAATTCAGACACAGATTTGTCCAGGGGCAATAGCTTATTCTCCCTTTTTACCAAGAATATGTATGTGTGTATGTGTATATATATATATATATATATATATATATATATACACATACACACATACATATATATTTACATATATATGTTATATGTATTGCTATACCATTTTAGGCTGACTGATAATAGTAAACTGAAACAACAAGGTATGTTTAGCCTATAATATTTACAAAATAGAAAAGCATAAAAAACTAAATAATCAACACTCCTAATTCTACTACTTGAAAATAATTGAGCATTTTGATATTTGCCTATCCTGATAGTATTTTATATGTTTGTGTTTACCAGATATTTAGATAGTCAGATCAACAGATAGACAAGTATGTAGGTATTTATAAGGTGTGTGTGTGGTATGTGTGTTGGCTGCATACTATAGAATTTTAAAGGAAGGTGCAAAGGTTCTTTAGGTTCAATGACATGAAGCAGGGCAAAGTACTAGTAATAGAGAATGAAAGTCACACATTCTCAGAGTCAACCTGCTATGAGACAAGCAAAGATAGAGGTTCTAGAAGAACAAGCATGGCACAGGGAACTTTATTGCATAAACTACACTATACTGTGGTCCAGTCACATTCTAATTCCATCTAAATAGTATTAAGTGGTGTCTCTGGTGAAGACATTGGTAATGCCAATTAGCCCTATGCTGTTTCATTGCAAAAGGGTTGGCAAGGCAGTCTATACTGCCCAGACATTCTAAGTGCACATATGTGCATTCACATGTGTGTATGTTATCTCTGGACTGAAAAATTCAAATAGAAGACATTTGAATTCTTTCTTCAAAAGTTCTATTTTCTCAGACCAGTGTGCAAGATGCTGGAGGGTATGAAGACCTCACAGATGGTAGACACAGAATTAGTTCAATCTGATATCAAAACTAACATTTTAATTATGCTACTTGGCCCAGTGAAGAAGAATATACAAAACATGCTGTTAATAAGTACACAGATACTAAAGAGCCATAGCTGTTGTGTCACCCCCAATCCATTCATCAGGCAGCACACACACACACACACACACACACACACACACACACATTCAGATTTGGTGATTTCTTCTATCAGTGTGCCTAAGACTCTTGCATGTTAGCATTAAGACTTCCAAATTCCTGTGGAGCCTTGTGGCCCAAGCAATAATGCTATTGCTCACTACTCTGCCCCCAAACACTACCACCCACTATTTCTTGCCAAATTTAGGAAACGGTACTCTGTGAGGTTTATAGACAAACACAAGTACTTTGTAGAGTAAGCATGTGTGTCTTTTCTCTAGGGGTGCTTTATAAAATGGTACACTGTCTGTTGCTGCGGCTGTTAAAACCTTCACAGGATCAGAAACTGTGAGCAAACCCGACTTCACTGTGTTTACCGTAAATCACTCTGGCTGCTTCAGCTGTATCATTCCAGCTTTAATGGAAGACGTTCAGAGGCTGTACCATCTTGGGAAACAGCTGACCTCGCTTACTGCCACGCTAACCCTGGGGAGCAATTTCTTCCCCCTTTCTTGACTGCGGGTGAATATTAAGTAGGAAGCTCTGTCTTTGTGTGTTTATTTATCTCTGGGCACAGAGTAGATGCTCTCATTAAGGACAGTGTGAGAATGGCAGGAAATAATACTTGCATCCAGACTTCCTCCTTCAAAGCATCCTTAATAATGGACATGCTCTTCAAAATGCTCATGTTTGAAACCACCCTGAGAAGTTTCAGGAGTAGGAGGTAAAATCTGAAAAATCAAATGCATTCTTTTAATTTCTGAAAACATTCTCAATGGAAGAGAGTCAATAATTTGCAAAGAGTTTTGCAGGAAATTCTGTATCTGGGAAGCATGACCCAATCCCCCTTTAAATCCACTAGGTGAGGCCTTAAGGCCTTAAGAGCTTCATTGTGGGAAATGTTAAGAGAATGCAACAAAATTGGAACGATTTCTAAGATAAGAAAACCTGGGATTTTCAGAATACAGATAGAAGGTATTTGTTTAGAAAACACACAAAAATGACTATTCTCTGATAAATCTGTCTTCTCTGATAAATTTGGTCCCTAATTAGATTCTTAGAAGTTTATCCATCTAAAGGAGAAAACCCTGTCTGAGGAGGTGGAAATTGCTAGCTCCCAAGCCAATGCTGGGACAGTGGCAGGTAAGAAAACCTCCTGGTGAAGTGGAGAGGCAACAGAAGCCCTGATTTCTCTTTACAATGCAGCCTGTGCCTCTCCCAGACTGTTGTGGATCCTGTAGAGCTTTTAGCCCAAAGCAGTGGCTGCTGGACTGAGAAGTGCCTGTCCCATCTCTTCTTCTTCCCGCTGTTCCTCTGCGCTTACCTTAGCAGCACATCATTGATGCAGAGAATTCATCACCTGATGTGACAGCCCAAGCGAGCCTGGCACTAAGAAACTCTCATTTGCAACCCAGAAATACGCTGAGGTGCCACAAACTGGCTGATGTCAGCAGTGAGTTGAGCTAGATCTGCATATGGGCCAGATGCCATTACAGAGATGCCTTCAGCATGGGTGAGAAGGTGTACGTGCTCCAGGCCCTCAATCACCCAGGCCAGTAGGGCAAGCCATGAAGCAAAACAAAGGAGCACTGATGCACCCCTTCTCCCTTTTTATGCATGTGTGCGTGTGTGCACACATACACATTCACACACACGTGCACATGCACGTGCACGCGCACCCCCCCACTCTCACACACACGTGCACATGCACATGCACGTGCATGTGCGTGTGCACATACACACACATGCACGTGCGTGCACACACACACGTGCACATGCACGTGCACACCCCCACACACTTGCACATACACGCGCACACACACACACAAACACACACACTCACACACACGTGTACATGCACCCCCAAACCCACACATACCCACTCACAGCTACTTATCCCAGAGACATCAACTCACACAGAGGTCCCACCCTGCATCTATCACCTGTTATTTTCTTCTCTCTCCTCTCCTCTTTTCACCTTTCCTCACCACCTCTATCCATTCCTCTCTCCTCACACCCTGTCTCCCTCCTTTTTAGATAGAATCTCCCTGTGTAACTTAGGCTGGCCTTAAACTTGACTTCATCTTGCTAGTCTCTC